GTAGCAATGCCAAATTATCTAAAATTAAGTACTATATATTTACTTTAAAATATAGCAGGAATGCCTACTTATTACATAAACTTTATTATAAAGTGAGTAACAAAAAGGTGTATACTTCTTACATTAATCTGCTCTGATTCTCTCCTTGTTCATAATGTATAAATACAGAATGCCTTGATTTCATTCTATTTTACCAGAAAGGAACAAAAACAAGAAGGATCCGACTGTATGTATTGTCAGGAATTTACTTTTTTCCCCCTTAGTAATAACACAGAGCCCTCACCTTAGTCAGTGACTATATTTAAACCAGAGCAATGAAAGCTGGTAGCAAATCAGTTCCCAAAGGCGTTTCCAGCCATTTCTAGATTTCACCACTGCAAGTGACACTGCAGTGAACAGACTTGGACAATCTGTCTGCTTATACTTTTGTTTTATTTCTGTGGACCGGAGTTCCCACAGTTCAAGGCACGTACATTTTGAATCTTAATAACTACAGTCGCATTGCTTTCTAAAAAGGCCACAGCCATCCACGCTCCCTCCTGCAGAGTGTGTGATTGGGGTGGGGAGTGCTGCAGGGTGAGCTTTTGTGTGCCAGCTCAGGTGATTCCTAGATATCAGGACTATGGGGGAGCCTGCTGAGGAGATGTAAGCCACTGAAATCCAATTATGCTCATGGAAATGGAAATGAGGTTTCAATGCCTTGTTTCTTTTCAGAACAGCATAACACTGCACCTAAAGAAATGATTACCCTGGCAATTTCTCTGGAGGCTCTGAGTCTGAAAACATGCTTGTGTGAAGTACTTCCTGCATCTGTCCAATTTCTGCCTTCACAGGCTAGGGGGTTCCCTTACCTATCCATTTTGTGGATTTTCTGATCATTCTTGTGAATACCCTGTCTGGAGTCCCCAAAACTCTGTTCAGGAGTGCTAAAGCCATCATCCATCATTTTGGAGCGAAAAACAATGAAATGGCTAATGTGACCTAGATTCAAAACTCATCTATGCCTCTTGTCAGCTCTTTAGCTTGAGAAGAGTCTTAATTTCTCTGAACCTATTGTTTCAGTGCAAGGTGGAAATATTACTATGCTTACTTCATGGGTAAAGATTAAGTGAGATAAAGCACATAAAGTGCTTAACATATGCTAAGCATGAAATGTATATTAGCTCTTTTTATTGTGGGGCACTAACAAAATCTCATCTGCCTCTTTGGATGTCTTCAGAAGCTCCTTATCTGTCTCCTGGTACATTATTTTCCTTGCTTCCACCTTTCACTAAATATACACGTAAGGCATCAGTTTCCAATCTTGAGTTTTCTGTCCTCTGCCTTCTAACCTCTTGGCTTCAGAAAGCCCATCACATTAAACTGGGTCAGCCTGGTACAAAAGGACAAACCCAGGCACTGCTTCTAGGGATCTAGTTTTCAATTCCCCACCACCTGGGTGTGTGGGACATGTATCCTGGGGCATATTACCCATCTCACTTATGTGCCCTCACCTGAGAATAATATTAATTAAACCTACCCCTTATGTATTTTATAAAAAGTGAAAAGAGAAAAATTCAAATGTTCTCAGCAGAAAGAAATGATAAAACCAGACACAGCGTCATGCACCTGTGATCCTAGCTACTTGGGAGGCAAGAGGATCATAAATTTGAAGCAAGATTGGGCAATGCAAAAAGACCTGGTCTCAAAAACAGGAAAAATTGATAAGTATCTAAGAAGATGGAAATACTAATTATCTTGATTTGTTCATTACAACTGTATACATGTATTGTATTATTGCACCATACTCAAGTATATGCAATCATTGTGTGCTTAGTAAAATTTAAAAATGTAGAAAAGATGGAAGTATAAATTGTAACACTATTTTGGTATTGCCAAGACAAACTGAAGATAGGCAAGTCTATGATTTAGTCATTCCACCTTTGGGAATATGTCATAGGAGAATGCATAGGCATAAAACCCACAGTACCTGTACTAGGATGTCTATAGTTGTACTGTCCATAATTGTCACAAACTAGAAGTGACCCAAATATCTCATCAATGGTAGGAAAATGATGGCATATTCACAGAGAATCATACAGCAACAAAAATGAATAAGCCAGAGCTACACACAACATAGACAAGTTATAAAATCACAGTGTGTAATGAAAGAAGCTAGACACCATGGGATACACATAAAAGTGATTCCATTTAAAGTTAGAAAACTAGTAAAGCCAAACCCTATTGTGTAGGGATGCATGAGCAGATGTAACCCTGCAAAGAAAAACAAATTAATAATCATTGCGAGACACATGGGAGTGGCTACTATTGGGGAAGGGGGAGGGTTGTGATGGGAAAAGATCATCTGGGGGTACCTGGGTGCTACTGATGTTTTATTTTTTGATCTGGGTATTAAATACATGATTGTTTATAATAAGCTGCTAAATTATGTTTGTGTGTTGAGATTACATCCATATACATATATCTAATATATTATAACAGTTATCCATTTAAATAAGTCAACTACACCAGCAATGTAAGGCAAGTGAGTAGCCCAGTGTGTAATAAGAGCACCTCCCCAGAAACATTATCTCTAGTGATTACACAGAATCCTGGAAGTGAAATTTCACAGCAGGACTGCTGTCTTATTCAAACGGAGTCTTGTGGTTGTACACTGAAATTTTTCCTTAGGCTGTGCACCAAGCCCTCTATCTTCCTGCCAGGTTCTGAAATCTAGTTTGTCATTTTCCTCTTCCATTGGGTCCTGGCTGGTTTTCCTCTTCTAATACCCTTTCTAACCCAGGCCGGCTGTCTGCTGCTCTTCACTTCATCTTTAACCCACTCCCTTTCTCCAGCAAGTCCCCTAAATTCCCCTCCATCCCTGGGAGTGGCCAGGTTGGAAACACCTTTATCTTCTGTCCATTTTTACTGCTGGTCCAGCCTCTAATCCTGAGCAGTCAATGTCCCTTTCTTTAACCCCCCTCCCACAATAACCTTCTCATTATATCTTGAGCCTCCTTCACTACCCTGTGAGGTTCCCAGCTGCCAAGTGCCTCAAGCCAAACATTCAGTATTTCCTTTAGATTTTACCTTGTACATGTGGGCTAACATACAAACTTTTAAGGTTTATTCTTTAGTATGTGAGCAATACCTCCCAGTTGGTGGTCTTTCATTAGACATACTTTTTCACTAAAATTACCAATTAAATGTGTGATGGCCCAGAATGAAGAACATAGACTTGGGGCGCTCTGCCTTTGCCCAAAGTTAGGATTTCAGGAAAGAAAGGCCCAAGGGTGGCTACCTCCCAGGGCGAGCCATATTCTGCAGAAGGAAAGAGAAATAATGTCTTCAAAATACAAAGAACCCAGGAGAACAAAATCCATCTTGGTCAATGGGAGTGGGAGGCTAACAAATGTTACCCAGCACTATCATCTTAGACTTTTACATGAGAAAAAAGCTCTAACTCTAAATCAATACAATGGTATGAGGCTAAAAGGTTATATATTGGAAGAAAAGTTTGGAGGACACCACAAAAATGATCAAAATCCTTGAAAGCTAGGTGTCATGGTGCATGTCTGTCATGCCAGCTGAGGCAAGGAGGCCGAGCCGAGAAGACCACAGGCTCAAGGCCAGCCTGGGCAACTTAGTGAGATCTTGCCTCAAAATAAAACAAGACTAAAAGGGCAGAGGACATAGTTCAGTGCTAGAGTGCCCTTGGCTTCTTTCCACAATATCTTTTTTGTTTGTTTGTTTATTTATTTATTTATTTATTTTGGTACTGGGAATCGAACTCAAGACCTTGCACTTGCCAAGCAGGTGCTTGTGCCACTGAGCTGTATCCCCAGCCCTTTTTTTTTTTTTTAGTGGTGAGACTCAGAAATGAGACCATTCTGAGCTGTGTGTGATGTACACTGTCCCATGTTGTCCTCTACCAACCTTCATTCTCTTTCCTATAGGTCAAATAAAACTCAACCACCAATGAAGGGAGTGTGAGTCCTAGAAATATCCTGCTAAGTCACCACTAGGAGACCTGTGTTTATGCCCATCATGGCCTCTGCTTACTGTAACTTTTGGGCCAACTCAACCCGTCCATGGAAGGAGGCAGAGGAGTACCTATACTTGCCCCTCAATTCTTTTTTTTTTTTTTTTTTGGTTTTTGTTTTTTTCTGGTACAGGGAACCAAACTCACGACCTTGAGCTTGCCAGGCAGGCACTGTGCAGCTGAGCTAAACCCCCAGCCCAGCCCCTCAATTCTTACATGAAGCCCAAACATCGCAACCCCTCTTTGATAAACACAGGACTACAGAACACAGGGCATAGATAACTCCTGCCTAACCCTGCACTAAGCCCTGACCATATTCCAGGAGAGCCTCTGGCAGCATCAGGCCTTGTTGTAGCATGACTCCTCATTAAATACCTGCTGAGAAGACTCACTGGGGCCATGAGAACCCACTGCTTGTTCTACCCCACACACCCTGGCGATAGGCTCCTGAACTCCCTTTCTGGGAGCACTGGCTCAAAAGTTCTTTCAGTTGTGAATGTATATATCTTGTAACTCAGAAGCACCTCCCCCGAGACTGAGTGCCACTCCTTTGAGATGGAATCATCTGGAAGGAGGGTGGAATCTTGACTTCACATTCGTACTGTGTGCTTTCCCATTTGTCTGACTGTACTGAGCCCTGCTCTTCCCACTCCATCCTTCTCCAATTAAAAACCTAAATT